CTCAAGAAATGTTCTATGCTGCTTCCTAGGGGTCCCTCATGAGACGGAGCCTCAGTTGCCCGAGCGGCACCCATACCTTCTGCCTCAGTTCTCCACTCCACCAATTGTTCCTGGGATCACCTCCTAAAAAGTACTACTTACAAGGGTCTGCTTCTGTGTGATCCCTCTTTTGAGGCTCATATAAGATTGCTCCTTCATTCACTCAACAAATATTTCCTGATTATTCACAAAATGTCAAGCACAACGCTGGATACTGGGGATACAATAATGCACACGATACAACACACTGGTATACAGCAGGTGTTCAATAAAACTATCGTTGATACCTATTGTTACCATTATTATCAGCCAGAGGTTTGAAACGGGTGGTCACAGGACACATGGCCCCCCAGCCAGCAGACAAGTAGTGTTTGAAGTTAATGACATTTTTCAATAAGTTGTCCTCATCTCCTAATGTGGGTATTACACATAAAAATCTAGATTTTCAGATTCTCTTGATAAATGAGGTCTGCCATTTCAGGGCCACCATTCTCATGTGTCAAGAACCATTGTCATGTGTCAAGCAGTGGCTTCCTTCAGATAGGGCATGAGTTCTCCACTTGCCACAATCCCCATCACTCCCTAGAATCTCACACCCAGCTTCGCTTCACTCATTTATGTACTCATGTGGCCCACATGCGACCTGACTTCGAGACCCCTGGCTTAGATGCTTAATCAATGTTTGACACAATTAAAAGAGCTTTTGTTCTCACCTTGTGACTGTCTCGAGCCCCTGACTCCCACCGACAGGACCCCATTTTGGCCTCAGAACTCTCCCCAGGGAGACTGGCTCTCCCTTTGGGCTGCTCTCGCCTCCTCTCTCTGGCTTCCTGCATGATGGACAGGCCCTCTTGGATTCTGGCAGGGGGGCCCTTCTCTGAACAGGCCCTTTTGACATCCAGCAGTAACCGTCCACAGTCATGTGGGTAGTCGCTCCACTGGGCAACACTGTCTTCCTCTCCCCACCCGATGAATTTCCTTGAGGTCCCTTTCTTCCAGTCAGTAGGGGGCGATTTGGGTGACACTCTGGTCCCACTGTCCAGATCCTCTTGACCCGTGGGCTTCAACTCAGCCATGTAATTCTGACACTTTGCACCATGATGTTTACTAGCAAAGACCTTTTTTTCATCCTCGGCAATTCCCAAGACTTTTTTCCTAGGCCCTGTAGGGACAGAAGAGGCCCCTGGATATTTTTCAGAAGGAGCTAAGTGTGGTGCAGCCCACAAAGGAGGGCTAGCTTTGGTGTTCGTGGCTGCCCCCAGTGTCTCTGCTGGCTGCTTGCCTGAGCCAGGAGGAGAACTGTGGCTTGTTTCGGCATAACTGGCTCGTTTCCGGAGACTCTCTGCTTTGGGCACCTCTCTTAGGCTTTTCCTCCTCCATTCCACCCCGCCTCGCTGGCCTGGCCTCTCCTGAGCTGAGCTGCTGGGCTCCACCGTCGGACTCCCCTTCTGCTCCTGAGCCTCCCCAGGGACTCTGGTCGAGTGTTCCCTGTATTCCGCCATCAGAGCATCAATGTCGAGGACACTGGATCTGTAGCTGTCTTTGATTTTACCTGGGAATGTGTCACTGAGTATATCGGTCCTCCTCCTGACAAGATCTTTTGGACGACTTTTCAAAGTTGGGGTGGTTTGGGGATTGCTGCTGCTGGGAGACATCTTGCTCCCACTTTCCTTCCAGTGGTTCTGAGAACCAGTGCCATCTTCTGATGCCCGATGAATCCATAAAGCATCCACATCAATGTTTCTTTCACTAGAAGGGTCCAGAATCTTGTCTGCAACAGATGATGGACAGTCTGTCGGTTTCAGATTTTTTGAAATGCTTACATTTTCATGCTCTCTTTCCTTAGACCAGTTTTTACTGCCTACAGTCTCCAGTGACTCTTCATGGTTCAGAGTTGATGTTAAAGAATGAGGAGATGCAGGCGGAGCTGGTTTTCTAGAATGTTCCAGCAAGTTTTCAGGCCCCAACTTAACAACGCTCTTTGCCTTTTGGATATCAGGAATCTGATAGGTTACTGCAAAAAATGTCACCTTGGGTTCCGCGGATGACCCTTGCTTCACCGTGGAGGAAGTCTGGTCCTGTGAAGCACGTGAGTTCACCTCCTGCATCTCCACCCTATTGTGGGATCGTTGAGAATTTTTTAAGGCACCAGCTGTGGGGGTATAATCTGTTCGTCTCTGCTCCACCTTGGAAGAGTTTTCTGGGGTGAGAAAGCTGAATGTGTCAAATTTCACATCGTGGGGTAAAGTCCGCCGCCTCAATCTGTCCATCCTCTGGTCCATGGGACTGGCTTTCCGCATTTTGACTTCAGGGTCCAGCACCTGGGCTGGCCTTGGATCACGCATGCTGGCAGCCACAAAGGGGGAGCCTTTCTGCACAAAAAAGGCATCAGGATGTGCTCGTGCGCGGGGTTCAGAGGGCTCATCTGTAGCTGTAGTAGGAGGGCCCAGGGGGCATCCCCAGGGTGGACCCCTTGCTTCTGCTGAAATACAGCCTCCTGGCTTCTTCTCAGCCCCCTCAGGCCCCTCATTCTGGGCCTCCCAGACGGCAGCCTTGATGACCCTCACAGAGGTAGCCTCAGGAGCACATGGCTCTTCGCTGGCCACCATGGTGGCCTTATGCCAGTTCACCACTGCCCCACCTGTCCATTTGGGTGATGGGCAATTACTCCCAAACACATCCTTTGGTTCTTGAAAATCAGGCTTTGACCCATTGGCCTCATGCGTCCCTCGAGCTTCCCAAATCAAACTGGCCCTTTGGACGGACCCCACCTGACCTTCCAGATTGCACTCCCGGTCAGCAGGGGTGACCTCCTGGGACAGCTGCCTCCCCTTCAGTGAGAGCTGAGACCTGCCGCTCTGGAGCGTGACCGCTGTTTCCTCCGGCGCTGTCGAGATGGCCTCGCTGTGCGCACACTTCCCCACTGTGTGCACAATGTCATACTTGGGCTCAATCCTCCGGGATATGGGACGAATGTCCAAGTGCTTGAGGAAGGGGTTATCACTATGTTTTTCACCCAAAGGGCATTTTTCCGGGAGGGGAGTGTGAAGCTGTCTGGGCTCACTGTTCAAAGGGGCAGCTCGTCCCAATTTCTCTATCTCAGGACTTTGAGACCACCTGGAGTTCTCTTTCTTGAGGTTTGTCATTTCTGGTGGGTCCTTCCCTGGCCAAAAGCCTTTCTCAGGCCTGGGTCTAGGCTCTGAGACACGAGCATCAGCCACATCACCAGGAGGTGTGGCTGAGAGATGACACTCCGACTGGTCAGCCACAGTGTGTCTCTCCACACGATGTTCAAACACCGTGGCCCACACGGTCTGGAAGCTTCCATCATCTTCTGGAGTGACATCAGAAGAGCATGGAGTCTGCACTGAGCTCTCATCCTGACATTGGATGGGGTCTTGGTTAGAGCTGTCTTTCCGCTCCGTCTGCCTGGACTTTTCCCGGAGTGACCCAGGCTTCCAGGGGCTTCTTGGGGCAGACACACTATCCTTTTGCTGGGGAAAAGGAAAAAAAAAAGAGAAACAATCCAATGTTAAAGGATTCAAAATGGAAAGGAAGAGTTGAGATGACTGACATGGCAGCTTTTAACATTAAAACAGTGAGACACCATACAATTTTCAAGACTGAAGACATCCAGTGTGGGTGAGGATATGGGAACTGGACACAGCCACCGCTGGAGAGAACGTAACTGGGCATGACTTGGGGCAGCGTGGCACACCTATCATGATTTAAAAATACTCATCTCCTCTTATCTGGCCAAGTGCCTCCTGGGACTTTGCCTTTGCCCATGTGCACAAGCCTGCATGAAAAAGAAAGCCCAGGCAACGCTGCATGTGAAAGCAAAAAAGCACAGAAACAACCTGAATGCCAACCTGAAGGACACTGGCTGCATCATGTCGTATGCAAATAACAGATTACTACACAGGCGTTGTAACCGCAGGAGGAGGCAGATCCCAATGTTGTGACATCTAAGGACACTTACAAAATATCGTCTTGGGGGGAGAAAAGCAGAGTGCATAACAGTGTATAATAAAATCATTTTTAAACACTGTACATGCATGTGTGTATAAACACATGTAGATAAACAGTCTGGAGAAAAAATAGAAATAAGTGTGGCAAGGGAAGGGGGATAGGAGGGTTGTTTCCTTTTCCAGTGAGAATGGATTCATATATTATTTGTATAAAATTTATATAATAGAATATAAACAAAGGAATGTTCAAAGGAATCTAAAATACATAGACAAAGCTCATATCCTTTTTGTTCCTGCATAAAATGCCTGCCCCCTTCCTGGATAACAACTATTGTCAATGGGTTATGATCCTTGAAGAGCCTTCCAGAACTTTCTCCTTGTATTATTCTTCTTAAAAAATAGTTAAAACGGTATATTACAAAGAAAATAACAAACTCACCTCCACCATCCCCCAGATCTGAGGACAATTAACGCCATGTCTCCATAACTTCACAAAGCCCTTTTGCTCTGTCTGTTGTTGCCTCTACAGGATTGTAATGCAAATATAAGGGGCTTTACTTAACCATTTTCAAAGAAATGCTTCAGAAGATCCAAGGAAAAGATGCAGGGCAAACCCTGCCCCTGAGAGTGGGGGGCATTACCACTCAGTTACCGAGAAGGGGCTGGCCAGTTAGCTCAGCTGGTTGGAGTGCAGCCTTCTATTGGTAAAGGGCCACAAAAAATAATTACACTGTGTAATGCTGAATATACTAATTATACTGATTTGATCGCCACCTATTGCACACAGGTATTGATATTCAATGCTGTACCCCACAGAGATGTACAATCAATACAATCAATTGTGTTTCAATAAAAATAAATTAAAAAATAAAATTAAAAAGATTTGAATAAATGCAGTTATAAATTTAAAAAAAAAGTTAGCCCACCTTTGTTGGGGATTTACTGAGATGGGTACAAATGGGCTTGAAACCAAGCACCAATATATTTTCAAAACTCTGTAGAAGTTTCTTAAAATACAAAACATGTACCTACCATATGATCCAGCCATTCCACTCCCAAGAGAAAAGAAAATACAAATCCCTGTAAGCCTCATCCACAGATGTTCACGGTGGCTTTATCTGTAACGTCCCCAAACTGTAAACATCTCACCCATCAGAGGGAGAATGGATAAACCAACCGGTCTATCAACACGACGGAATATTACTTGGCAATAAAAAGGAATGAACTATTGATACACACCACGACATGACGAATCTCAAAATAATGACTGTGCATGAAGAAGCAGGATCAAAAAAAAATGACTGGTTCCACTTACATTAAAGTCTAGAAAATGCAAACTAATCTATGGTGATGGAAAACAAATCAGTGATTGCTTGGGGACGGGGGGAGGGAGGGAGGGATGACAAGGTGGTAGGAGGAAACTTTTTCATGTGATGGAGATGTTTGTGCTCTTTACTGTGTGTCAGTTGTATCTCAAGAAAGCTGGTATAAAAAAAAAATTAAAACTGCAGAAAGCAGGGCCGGCCCGTGGCTCACTCGGGAGAGTGCGGTGCTGATAACACCAAGGCCCCGGGTTCGGATCCCACATAGGGATGGCCGGTTCGCTCACTGGTTGAGCGTGGTGCTGACAACACCAAGTCAAGGGTTAAGATCCCCTTACCGGTCATCTTTTAAAAAAAAAAAAAAAACTGCAGAAAGCATCAACCACAAACCAGTTATTCATCGTGGTTATTTTACAAGCTTTTTCTTATCAAACGGATGAAATAAAAAATTTTAATTGCTAGTAACCTACCTCTTTTTTTTACTGCTAAGTGGTAAGACAGGGTGGGGAAGGGAATAAGAACCATAATAAAGGGACTTGAGAGAGTTTCTCTTGACATCTTAAACCTAAATTTCATTATCTTAATAAAGCAGGCAGTTTTAGATAAGAAAGTCGAGTCCTTCTGCCTCTGTGCACAGAAAAAAATAAATACCTGACAGTTACATTTTTGGAGAGCAAATGTAATACCTGGGAGTGGGGAATCACAACCCATCACCTCTGAAGAGACTTTAGCTTTTTTGTTTGTTTTGCTTTTTCGGTGGCTGGCTGGTACAGGTATGGAACCCTGGACCTTGGTGTTATCAGCACCATGCTCTAACCAGCTGCGCTAACTGGCCAGCCCTTTCCAGAAGGGACTTTAAAAGTCCCACCATTAGTGGGAAAAATGTTTTGTTGTGCATGGTAGGTTTCTGATTTTTTCCTGGGTCTGGTAGATCATGGAAGCTCTTTTTCCAGTAAGTGTAACTGTCCACTGGAAAACAACATGTACCAAACACAGCCACCACTTACCTTTTCTCTTGGTTCCTTGGGAAGCTCGCTGCTCAGCTCTGGACTCCTCTCATATTTGAATTCATTGCTCGAAGCTGAACTTGAAAACCTGGTGGAAAGATCCGAGTTACTTGTATGGAGCCCACAAGCTGAGATTCTCCCCAGCCCACACACTGTCACTGGCTCTCGCTGGTTCAGGAGCCCAGGGCTGAAATCAGCCTTGACATCATCAAAGCCACACTGGCTGATATCTTTGGAGAAAGGACACTTCCTTTCCAGTTGCTAAAAGGGGAAGGGTCTGGTGGAGAGAGCCTACCTTAAACACAGCATCATCAGGGTGGAAGAGGCTGCAGGCTGGGGTGAGGACAGCTGGGTGCTGGTCCCAGCTCTGCAGCCTCCTCAGTGTGGGAGCTCGGGTCAGGTTTGTGACCTCACCTGAGCCTCTGTTTCTTCATCTATAAGACAGGGATAATTAACACCTCCCCATCCTCTTTTATAGGGCAGATAAGAAGCTACCCAAGGCCCTAATAGCTACATGTGAGCATTTAGGGAAGAGTGAAGATGCCCTAGGAGGGATAATTAATGGTTGTTGTTAGCAATCCCAGGCACAACAGCAGCCTCACCCACACACAGGCCACCAGACTCAGGGGCAGTGGGCCGTCATGGAACGTGTGGGGGCATGGGTCTGTCTCTGCCTCTGTGGGTAACCAGGGCCAAGTCGTTGTCCCTCTCTGGTCCTAGTTCTCCACTTGTAAAGGGGAGGAGAGATTGAGGCTAGAATCTTTCCATCAATGAAGAGTTCTCTGGTGTAAATGCCTGAAGATGTAGCACACGCTTAGTTCAGGGCTGGCGGCTTTGAAGAGAAGGGCGGGGAGAAAAACTGAACCACTTAAACTTGATCCACACTCAGCAATTCAGGGTCTGCCTCCTGGGAGGCGTGAGGCTGTGATGAGGTGTTTCGAAACTCAGAGCTTCAGTTTCCCCATCTGTCAGATGGGAATCACCACACGGCCCCTCCAAGGCCCTTCAAAAATGCAGAGAGGGGAAGTGTATGAGGTCCCTAGCACCTACTGCCTCTTACTTTAACTCATGGGTTCTCAGATCTGGCTGCACATGAAAATCAGTTGCAAACTTTTAAAAACTACTAAAACATGAGCCCCTCCCCAGACCAACTGAATCAGAATTTCTAGGGGTGGTGCCCAGGCATTGGTATTTTTCAACGTGATTCTAAGGTGCTGAGAGCCACTGGTCTAACTGGGGGCCAGCTGGCTGCCCTGGTTCCCAGAGCCAGGAGGGCAGTCTGCCCAGAGATCTTGCCCCTGGAACCTCCACCCCAGACAAAGTATGCCGGTGGCAGGTGTGTTATTAACAAGCTGGTGGATCACGCCCAGTGGCATCTCCCTGTTGTGGCCACTTGTGGGAAAACAAAGAGGCAAGAGATGTCAGAGGTGGCCCAGGCTTGGAAAATCATTATTAACCAACTGGATTATTAACACCATTTGGAGCCACAATGTATGGAGGGCTTCCCGTGGCTGGAGCAACTCCCAGCATTGTCTCTCTCAGTCTTATTACCTCACTCCTTCAAGGAAGGTCTTAATATTATTTCCATTTTCCAGATGAAGACATGAGGCTCAATGAGGGGAATCGACTTGCCCAAGATATCTTGACACCTCTGATTTCATTATTAGGACCTCCCATGGAGGCTTAGGCACCATCTAAAGTGTTCTCCAACTTTAGGGAAGAAAGACTTAGCTATGGAGACAGGTTGGGCTAAAATGACATTGGTTACCCAGCTATGGAGACAGGTTGGGCTAAAATGACATTGGTTCCCAGCTTCCTCCCAGGACCTCACTTTCCCAACCTGCATCTGTGAAATGGGTGCGACAACTCCCACTTCTCTCACATAGCACACACAAAGTTCTGATCTCCACTCCTGGTACATGACACACCCAGCGGGGAACTGGCTACCTCTCCACACCTCAGCTTCCTAATCCTTATCTCAGAAATGGAAACTAGCCCCACCTCCTCTCAAGGCTTTGAGTAAACCAAGAGAGGAAATGCGAGGTGCCCAGTGGTTCTCTTCCCCTTGGGGTCTCTGAGAGGAGGCTGGAGGCAGCCAGGGACTGAGTGAGGCAGGTGGGATGTGTTCACTTACAGTTTAGTCAAATCCACCGATAGTGGCCGAGCCTGGAACATGCTCCTCCTGATCTCTGGCTTTGCCTTGGAACTCTCAGCAGCCCAGCCTTTGATCCGCTCCTGGACACTCATGCCCCCTTTCTCGGACTCTGGCACTGCCAGGGAGCACTCAGGGGTGGCCAGTGGGGTTTCAGTCTCTGCTGCCAAGGCCAATAGGCTGTCCTCCCCAAACAGGCTGATGCGCTTCTTGACGCTCCCTCTGGAAGTCCACTGTCCCCCTGCCGGGGCTTCCCCGTCAGCCCCTCTGTTCTTGACCTCAGTAAGTTCTAGGCCTCTTCCAGACCTGGGTGAAGGGGACTCTGACACCTTCTCTGGCTCCCGGTCCAGCTTGGCTTTCTCTTCCCAAGGACCCTGATCATCTCTAGGGGTGACCCTGGCTGAGCCCCCTGGGGATCTGGGGCTGCCTGCCTCTGCCTGCTTAAAAAGCATCTTCTCCTTCTGTTCACGGATTTTCTTGGCCACATCCAGGAAGTCTGAATCTGGGTCATGAAAAGAAGCCTCTGCCTTGACCAAACACTCCCTGTCCACCTTGGGCTCCAGGTTGGAGCTCTCTGGCCCCTGACCCTGGGCAGTGGGGCCTGCCGATACCCTATTTCCCTCATCAGCCACCCTCCTCAGCAAGGCCTCTTTGCTCTCAAACCGAGCTGTGAGGTCCATGGACAAAGGCCTGGGCTTCCTCACCCATGTCTTCTCTGGAGGGGTGGGGGGCACTTTCCCCACCACAGCCGTTCCACCAGGGACCGGCTTCTGAGGCTGAATGGATTCGATGAAGATAGCTGACACAGGCCTTCTCTTCAGGCGCGGCCTGGGCTCTGGAGCAGGGCCTGCCGTGTCCTCCATGCTGCTGGCCTTTGAGAGGGGCTGGTCTTGGCCTATCTCCTCTTGGGTTGTGGCTGGCCTTGTGTCCTGTGACAAGGAGGCTGCTCGGGGAAGGGTCCCCGCGGGCTTTCGGGCGGGCAGGGCAGGCTTGGTGGCCACCTCAGGGCGGGAGGCTGCAGGGAGCTCCTGAGATACACCTGGGTTGGCCTCCTGAGCCCCCTCGCTGACCCCCTTCCCCAGAGTGGGGCCAGTTTTGGTGGGTTCAAAGAGAACCCTAGTGCTGGGGCCGGGCCGCAGAAACGCGGCCCTGTTGAACAAGGACGCGCTTCTCCTCGGGCCCTCCCCACTACCCGCCTCCTGCTCCACCAAACCAGGCATTCTCTCGTCCAGATCCTTTGCTGTCACCTCACTGGAGAGCCCACTGGAAGGACACAGCCTGGTTGGACTGGGCCGAAAAGACGAGACAGAGGATTTCACGTCTGGGGCCTGCTCTTTGGAGAAGGGTTTGGGGGCAAGTCTTGGCAGAGGAAGTAAGCGGGCCGGGCTCCTCAGGGGGCTTTTTCCTTCCAAGATCCGGGCTGAGGGGACATCGCCAGCCTGGCAGAAGTAGGTCCGCTTCAGGGTCTCCTCTTTGTCAAGATCACCCAGGCTTGGTACTGCTGTCAGGGTCGTTATGGAGCCGACCTCGACCCGCGTCGCCATGGTTATAGTTGTGGATCCATGAGGATTAAGAACATTGGAAATGTAGAAGCAACTGCTAAAAAAAGAAAAAAAAAAGAAAAGTTAGAAAGCAGTGTCTGGGTCAAAGCAGAGTGGTTTGGGGGAATGGCACTGAGAGACCCAAGCCCAGGATTCTGGACAACAGCCCTCCACTGACTTCACTGGACAAGTTTGCACCAGTCTCTCCACCTCTCTGAACTCTGGGCAAGGGGAGTGGACTACATGGCTGTCTCTGAAGTTCCATCCAGCTCAAAGGGTGCAGAAAAGGTGCCAACATTTGCTAGGGCTTTTCCTGATTCAGCTAGTCTCTAGGCCAGCTCTTCTGGTAAAAAAAAAAAAAGAGCTACTGTGATTTTCTCTGCTGTACAAACAAGGAAACCAGCTCAGAGAGGTAAAGTAACTGGCCTGGGGTCACTCAGGAAGCAAGAGGCGAAGTCAGCATTCGAACCCAGGTTTGATTCCAAACTCACACCTCATGCTCCCAGCATAGGCCCCAGTGGGAACATCCTCACCCCTGTTACCCTAATTATTTTCCCATTTCAGAACCTGCACACATGAGGTATTTTTGCTGATCCCCATCGCAACCCTGTGCTGAGCACCAGCACAGAGGGTAAGTGACCAGCCACAGGTCACACAGCAACCCACAGCAGGAGTCCCCAGGATCATCAAGCTGGTTAATGGTCTTGGAACCCATCCATGCTTCAGCCACCAACCCCACCAGACCGGTCCTTAGCCCTTATCTTTTCTCTCCCCTTTACTTCCAGATGCCGTTAGAAAAAAAAAAAAAGCCATCCTGATTTTTCTCTCTCCACCTGCTATTGTTATTTGTTTGCCTTTGGGCTTTGTTTGTTGGCTTTTTGTGTGTGTTGAACACCTATTTTATGCTGGCTGCCTTCAATTCTTAAGAAGAGTAACAGCAAACAGTGAGGGTTTCCCATGAGTGAGACCTGGAGCTAAGCCAAGTGCTCCGTATGTTTTATAAATCTCATCCTCCTCACGAGCCTAGGAGGTGGGTACAATTATCAGACCCCATTTTGCAGGAGCTCAGGGCATAAGCTCCTTGTTCACCTAGCTAAGAAAGCTGTTCTGTTCTCGCAAAGCAGGAGCCCTTGTCTCTCATTAATCCTCCAACAACCCTGAGAGGCAGTAATTATCATTACCTCCCTTATGGAGATAAAAGGAAGGGGCCCAGAGATTGCCAGACTTATCTACAATCACACAGCTGAAAACAGACCTTGAGTCCTCAACCCATGCTGCTCTGCCTCTTTTTAAATTATTTTATATTCCTTTCTGGTCTTAAAAAGTATCAGATAAGTCACTGTTTTGGATTCCCCAGTCCCCCTTCATGCCAGTGTTGTCTTTCCCTACAAAACTGTCCCCAGCCAGCCCCCTTATAGATGCACTGAAAATGTGTAAGGTATTTTAGTTAAACTCAAGGCTCCTGCTTCCCTTCCTTGGGGCCCCACACTGCTCCCCCAGCTCTGACTCACTCAGCAGTCTCCAGGAAAGAAAGGCAGACAGATTTTGATATTTTCTCTTCCTTACACGCTCAATGGTGCTAACAGATTCCATCTCCCTAAACTGGAGAACACTGTCTAGACGCAGTTAGAGGCAGAAGAGAGGGACAGATATAGAGAATCCGAGAACTGGAGAATTTTCATCTGCAAAGACCCCAGGTAGAGGTCTATGTCCCCAGGGTCCTGCCCAGAATCAGAGCTACTCACCTTTAGAGCCAGCCCCATGACCTCTTAAAACCCAGCTCAAGGACACATACGTAGCCAGGCATGAAACACAGTACAATGACAGGATTCAAAGGACAGAGAGAAAATTGTATGGCAGAACCCACAGGCTCCTTCCACTCCCTGGATACTGCAGCCCCACATGGATTGAACTCGGACCCCACTTACCCAAGGTGGCAGTCCCTGGCTGGAGAAGAATGACTGCCAGGAAAAACCAATGGTGTCACATCTCATCGCGAATGGGGCTGTCCACACACTCCCATGGCAGAAGCGGGTGGGGAAGGCAGGCTCATCCCAGCAAGCTGAGTTTCGGCGGGTCTGGGGACACACAGGACGACAGCCTCAGTTCCGGAGTTCCAGCAATATGTGCACAGACGGTACAAAAGCTTTCAGGCTCTAACTGCATCCGCTGGCATCTCCTCCAGCTTATAAAACTCACACTCCTTTTGGCTTTTCAATTTTGTAGCGTTATATATACATATGTGCATAAATAATGCAGAGTCCACAATAGGTGTTCAATAAAAATCTTCTCTAGTTTTCTGATACATGTTTATTGTGCACCTACCATGTATACAAACACGAACAAGAAATATCCCCTGCAACCATGGAACTCAGTCTTGTGTAAGAAACACACACAGAGGAAATTGTAACACTGGGTTATAAATGTCATGGTTTATAACAGGGAATTGGGAGCACATGGATAGGAGGATTAACTCCTAGAATTGCGAGTGGTGGTTTTGGACAACTCCCTTGACTTATAGGAGGTAACTAACTACTGAGCATTCAAGGTACTGACTGACTAATTTGGGAGGTGTTTCTCCTGTTCAGCAGTATTTGGACACTGAATCTCTTTCAGGACTTCAGGTCCTCAAACGCCTCCTCAGGACCTTTGCACATACTGTGCCTGCCCTCTGGGATATACCTCTTGCTCGCACACAGACACAGGCCCACCCCTCAGACATCTCTGCCCCTTTCAACCAGATACAACCCCTCTTACGTGTTCACAGAGCACCACAGACATTCTGCAGGACTCATCCTAGCTACACAGTTACATTTAATAGGACATGATCCTTCACTCCATGTCAGTCTTTCCCATTCAGCGGTGAGCCCCCAGAGGGCACCCTGAATCCCCAGTGGCTAGCACAGTGGCCTGACACATAATAGGACTGAATACGTCATTATCAAATGAATAAATAAATAACTGTTGAATGAATAAATAAATGAATGAAGACATATTCTCTGGCCCTGCTCCCCACTCTTCTAAGATGCTCAATAAGTCTAGGTGCCATGTGTCTCATGACAAATGACATTAAGCAATCTGGGACATAAGATGAGTTTTTCTGGCTAGGGCTATGATGACAGAACCAAAGAGGTGTGAAGTGCTCAGCTGGAAGCTCAATCCACCAACCCCCACAAAGAGGCCCCCATCAGTTTCACTGGGCTACAGGAAGGAGCTTTACCCCTAGGGCAGGCCACTGTCAGACACCCACACAGTGTGACCACAGTAACCTCACACTGTCATGCCAGCTCATCTGCCCAAGTGTGGAATGAATGTTTCTCTACATGGCTTTTCCCTGGGAAGAGTCACTAAAAAACTGTTGCTGAATTAGGATCAGTGATACACAAATGTCACCCCTCTTTGGGATCCTTGAACCCACCTCAGTGGCCATACTGCAGGGAAGGAAAAGGGAAAAGGCAAGTTAAAGTAAATCTCTTGGTCCACATCTCTCTCACACAGAACAGTGCCTCTGTTATCTGCAATGAGCTTTTTATCTCGCACTACCTCACAAGTTTCCATTTCGAATGCCTAGCAAATGCCAGGTATATAAATATAGTTGCATGAATGAATCAATGAATTAATGAATAAATTAATGCGCAAAGGAAAGTAAAGGAAGTTTTTTTTTTTTATTATTTTTATTTTTTAAAAGATGACCAGTAAGGGGATCTTAACCCTTGACTTGGTGTTGTCAGCACCACGCTCACCCAGTGAGCTAACCGGCCATCCCTATATGGGATCCGAACCCGTGGCCTTGGTGTTATCAGCACCGCACTCTCCCAAGTGAGCCACAGGCCGACCCAGTAAAGGAAGTTTTTAAACCGCTGTAGTAGACAGCTAAATATTTTAAAGTCCTTCTCAACCCTGGAAACCCATGATTCTCGGGTTTTCATTTAACCTGTTGTCAAATATAAGCAAACCGATTTAAATACATGCTTTAAAATCTTACTTTAAAGGTATCACATATGTTATGCTTGATGTAAAGAGCTGTGAGTCTCTTCCAAAACATTTCAGAAGCCCACTCACACAGAGGCCAGCTGCTATTTGTGCCTGGGGCGGCCTCCCTCACTCTTTTTAAATATATTAGCTGAGCACTACAGCCAAAGCAAGGTAAATAAGAGCTCCCTGAAGAAAGAAGAGTAATTATGACCTCCATGCTGACCTCCATGATGATAAATATATGGAGGTCAGCATGGAGGTCATAATTACACCCTTAAATCTGATCTGGGAACAAGACGTCCATCTGGAGGTCACGTGGCTGTGGTGGGCCAGGAGAAAGAGGGCATAAGTCTGACCACAAGCAGTGAGAGTAGGAAGAGGTATTTCTCTGCTGTTGCTGAACCTGCCAAGTCCACAGTTTGATCTCCCTTAATTGATTTGCAAAGTTTGAAATTCCCATTTCCTGCTATTTCATGCACAGAAAATCAAGTCTGAGAAGACAGTTATCGAGAGCAACAGGTGCTGAAATTAGACAAGTCACTTGAAAGCATTCAATTCATCCATCCTGACACTCCTTCCACAAACTCTGCCTCCCTACGCAGCGCCAGGCTCCATGCTCACTGCTGGGGGAGCCGTCATGGAGCTCGCAGTATCCTGCAGAATCCAAGAGATACACGAGAGAGAAGACAGGAGAAGCTCTTCCACTCAAAACAGAACAGTTTGGCAGCTTTCTCCCAATTCAGAGGCGTTGATTCATTCTAACAGCTGCTGACGATCTTTCCTAATTACACCCTTAAATCCGATCTGGGAGCTCATCAGCCATTCACTCAGCCGTCTCTGGCTGCTGCTTCCCGGGAATGCCACCATCTGGTGAGGGGTGTAGGTCGGTCTTGACACCTTCCAGCATCTTCCGGAATGTGACCTTGGCCCCCAAATCTGCAAATCCATCCTGTGTGTTGCATGGTGCAAAGTGCCAAGAATGGATTCGCCGAGTGCACACTCATGTTCTCCCAGAGGAACAGGGCTGC